TTTAACAAACATTACAGATATTTGGGAAACTCATTTTTCCCTTGAGCAATTAGTAGAAATCTTTAAAGTAAGTCTTTAAACAATTACTTAGTACATATAGATTCAATAATAATCTATTTTTATAGAAAGAAAACCCTAATATTGAAGCCACTGAAGATATTGTAAAAACAAATCTGTTGAGCACAATTGAGGAATTAGGAGATGTGAATATTTCTTTAAATTATAGTGATAATGAACTAAATTTACTTCTCCATCCAAAGGGCAGTGATGAATCACTTCAGTTAGGTGTACCAAATATTGTTTATAAATTTGCGTTACTAAAACAAGATAGTTCTAAGGTAATATAGGTATACAGTAAAAATTTTACTGAAAATTAATTTATTTATATTATTTTGTCAGTTCAAAAATGAACTTACAATTCCTTTAATTCAAACTGTCTTTTTCTTGGAGAAACAGCAACAAGTGTTATTGAATTTACTAAAAAAGAAAGACAGAGAATTGGAAGAATACAGAATGGAAAAAGGGGATATTTCCAGAAGTATTATAAAACTTTTTCAAAATGTATTAGGTTTTTTAACATGTCGGTGTTATTATAGATGATTTAAGAACAGAAACATTTCATTTGGAAGGAGGAAATAATAATTCAAACAATTTATTTTTAAAAGTATTCAAGGAAGGTGATGAATTTTGGAAAGATTTCACTGACCAGCATGGTAAAGTTGAAATTGACTTACTAGAGTAAGTTGTACTTATAATTTATTATATTGTGTACTATTCTTGTTTTTTTTTAAATATAACAGAAATATTTTTTGTAGTGTTGAGCCTGAACCCTGGAATAAAAATAAAAGAAGAAAAGTAATTCATAATGCCAAAACAGCGCCTAAAAAGGGCATTCAGTATAAAAAGTGATATTTTTTACTTAAAATATATTTTATGTATACAATAATTCAGTTGTTCTTTTATCAGTATAAGAATGTTTTCCCTCTAAGGTACTCTAATAACTAATTTGTAAGATAAAAACATTTGTACAATAAATAAATAATGTTTTAATAATAATTTATGTTATTTGCAGGTTAATTTTATTAATTTGACAATCATTTTATTTCTAATATATATAGTATTCTATGATGAATTTAATTATTGGTTTAGTAATTTTTTTCTAAAAATATTAAAATCTATTTTTGACATTGAATACACTCGATTAATTAGTGAATCACCATTGTGAATCACAGAATCAGGCAACCAACTTGACACGTAGTCCTCTATAGGCAACTTAAAATACATCAATTGAAAGGAAACAACGAAATAAGAACTTTTTCTTCTGAAAACTTGAAATAAATTAATATTTAATTAAAAATGTCTATATAATTACTACGATTAAAATAAACAAGGAGTACAAATTAACACACAATCGTACTAATATCTTTCAATAAAAAAAGCAAATAATTTGTTTACATTTATTTATGATTTGGAAAAAGAGAGCAATAATGACTTGGTAGATAAAACATTTAAGATAACGTTATCTGTGAAGAATTTTCGATTGTTGGTCAAACATGGGGCGACTATGTTTTCTATTTAAGTCGATTTGTTGAAGATATTTTAAAAAAATCTATATCTCTTGTGTTCTGTGTTTCTTTATTTTCTATATTAGAAAAATCCTTACATGTTTGTTTTATAAACATAATATACTTTTTAGCTTCTTGTGGTTGAAATAAAAATGGAGTTAAATACAACACAATCTAAATTATTGGCTATCGTTGCTTTAGGAGTAGGAAGCATTTTTGTAGGTAAGTTTTAGATTAATAAAAACACTATATAAATAATCTAGAATTATTCTAGAATATTTACAAAAACAACTAAAATTAAGAAATTGTCAATATATAAAGATACGTAAAATATGTAACTGTATTCAGTAAAATTACTGTTATTTATTTTATTAATTTAATGCAGTATTAATTGGCTTTATAGATAGTAATATAAAAATTCTAAAATAAGAACAAATGTTATCACTAAAATATATAATAATTTTGTTTACATATGCGTTTTTAATTTTTTCTACTGCGACACTTGATGTCTTTAAGAAACTTTCCGTTTTATTGTGTTTAAAATATATAAACAATATTATGAAAAGTTTCAAATGAGTTTTAGTTTGTTTATTGTAAAAGGACAGGAAATAATATTCTTTAAAAATTTAAGATAAATATCATTATACAGGGTGACCCAGAATAAATGCAAGTATTTTAACTGGTAGTATAGTTCAACCCCAGAAACACGCCTATGAGGTTTTCTCATGAAAAAAAAATTTCGAAAATTCGAAATTTTTTGAAAAATATTTCGCAAATTTTTTCAGTTTTTAGTCAAAAAACATAATTTCTTGATAATATGGCAACATAGGTAGTAGATTAAATTTACAAGAAAGAAAATCCAGAAAAGATCCAGTGGTTCTCAAAAATTTAACAAAAAAAAAATATTTTTTGTTAAATTTTTGAGAACCACTGGATCTTTTCTGGATTTTCTTTCTTGCTCTGAAGCAAGTCCTTCGTGGAGCAGTCGGAGGTATCTCCGTGCTTCTGATCCGCTAAGACCTACTCTCAGAGGATCGTCTAGCCCGCCTGGTTGACCCAGGCCGGGTAGACGAAACGGTAGCTTATGTCGCTTATTTGGTCTAGAGGTAGGCTCCCGACCCTTGCTGAAGAAGGTGGTTTTTTTTTCCACAATAAGGGGCCGTCCTCTGCCGGAAACACTGCGACCTGTGAGGTCTATTGTGTTTGTCCCCTTTCTATATCTGCACCCATTCTCCTATCCCTGTGCCCTGCACTAACTTATGCAGGTCCTTGATATGATAGTTCCTCCGGTTCTAGCCTAGCTTTCTCAAATAAAAAGTGTCGCTTGCGATCCAGAGCCTCGCAGTGACATATTATGTGCTCCGCTGTTTCAGGATCTTTAGCGCAAAGTCTGCAGCAAAGACTTCCTTGATACAGATTGAGCTTGTTCAGGTAACACTTGACAGCCATATGTCCTGTCAAGAGGACTGTTGTAATCCGCAATTTATTCCTGCTAAGCATTAGCAGTTCTTTTGCGGTTTTGGAGCTAGGTCCTTGGATAAAAGCCTTGCTGTGCCTGTGCCCGTGTCGGTTTCTCCAGTGGACATTCTGCTTTTTCCTGATCCAGAGTTTTAGTGCACTACGGGCCATACATTTGGGTATTCCCAGTACTGGCTCTGGACCAAGATAAGATGCCGATGATCCTTGCCTAGCTAGCTCATCGGCTTTTTCGTTGCCTTGGATGCCGCTGTGGCCCGGCACCTAGAATAATTTAATTCTGTTCCGTCGAGCCATAGCTTCCAGTTCACCTAGGCATTCCCAGACGAGTCTCGACGATACCTTTGGGCTCATAAGCGCCCCAAGTGCCGCCTGTCTGTTTGAGCATATATTGATGAGCTTATCTGAATAAGCTCTTCTATTGTTTTCTTTCGCACATCGTAGAATGGCGAAGATTTCTGTCTGGAATACGGTTGAGTCTTTACCCAAGGAAAACGATAAACTTACCCTTGGTCTTTCCCGAAATACTCCAGCTCCTGTTCCTTCAGCGGTCTTTGACCCGTCTGTATACCAGGTTAGTCCATCCTGAAGGAATGTTATATCTGTCCACATTCCTCGATCCATTTTGTTCACCTCGAATGGTTTGTGATAGTGATAAAGAGGGGTCATTTGGTCCGATCTTATTTGGAGTAGAGGTCCTCCGATAGGATTTCCCATCTTTGAGTGTCCTGTTTCTGTCCTATTTCCCAGAGACAAGACACTTTGTTGTCGATAGAGTCCCATTCTTGCCTCCGCCTGGATCACTATGTGAAGAGGCGGAAGGTCCAGAAGCGCCTCCATTGATGCAGTGGGCGTTGATTTCATCGCCCCTGTTATGCTCAGACAAGCAAGTCTTTGCACCTTGCTGAGGCTGAGCATTGTTGTTGTTGCATTACCTTAGGCCACCATACCAAGGATGCATATGTTACCGAAGGCCTCACCACTCCAGTGTACAGCCAGTGCACCATCTGTGGTCTAAGGCCCCAGATTTTTCCATGAAGGCGTCTGACTACCGCTAGTGTAGTCACCGCCCTCCTTGTGACATTTTCCAAATGTCGGTTCCAGGTCAGTTTGAAGAAGGTGGTAGCTTGTGTGCCACTTGTGGAGGGCGATCCCAAGCAGGTGTCAGCCGCCCCTCCTGTAGTTTCCTTTGGATTTGGTTCCTTGGAACTTTGATTTGTAATGTTCCCAGTGTCGCTATGGGGCTTCCCTACAGCTTCAACGTATTAACTAAAGACGCCCTGTATTAACTAAAGAAATATAAAATTCGAAATATTTTGACAAATAATATAAAACAACACTACAACACAAATGAAAACTAAAAGTTCAGTGAACGCAGTTTTACAAAACCCTTAGCTTCATGGTTAAATAAAATAAAATCCTTATAACTAAAGTTATATTATGATTTTGTTTTGGATTGTTTTTTTCTCTAGTTGTATTTAACGACAATTTATTAGACATAATTCATTTCCATTAAATAAATATTTTCTTGCATAATTAACAATTGGTTTAGACCTCAAAAACATTGTTCAGTAAAAATTATTTCAGAAGAGCCAGAACTTTTGAAATATTTTCCCTCTGTTTGAAATTCTTTCTTATACAGGGTGGTCCGAATTGTATTCCGGAAACTTCGGCAGAATATTCTGCAGATAAAAATAAGTAAAAAAGTTCGTATAAATGTATCTCCTAAAATTTTTCGTTTCAGAGGTACAGGGTGAAGAAGTTTAATTTTTATTTGGATTTCTTTCAAATCATTTCTGAAATAACGTCAATATTTAGATGAAAATTGGTGTCTGGTAGTTTTTTGACATGAGAAATTTGATTTTAATGTCAAAATGACTCCTATTTATAGGGAGCGCCACCTACATGTGTTTTCATTGTTTTAAAGCGTAATAACTTTTCGTCCGTACCTGTATAAAACTAACGAGTAGCGATGGGAACTATCGAATGAATTAGACTATCGAATGGTTAATGAATGAATGATTTCAACTATCGAATGGTTTTATTCGAATAAAATCATTCATT